TCCCTGGGAACAAGGCTTGACATGAGCACAACCTACCACCCACAAACCGATAGACAAAGTGAGAGGACCATCCAAACACTGGAAGATATGTTGAGAGCCTGTGTGATTGACTTTGGAAAGGCATGGGATACTCATTTACCCCTTGTTGAGTTTTCTTATAATAACAGTTATCACACGAGCATCAAGGCTGCTCCATTTGAAGACCTCTACCACCGAAAGTGCAGATCCCCTCTGTACTGGGTTGAGGTGGGTAATACCCAATTAGCTAGGGGGCAAGCTTCAAACAGTACTCTCACCGGTCCGGAGATCATTCGGGAAACGACAAAGCCTCTAGAGACCGACAGTAGAGCTACGCTGATAAGCGAATAAAACCTTTGGAATTTCAGGTGGGAGACCGAGTCCTTCTCAAAGTCTCACACTGGAAAGGCTTGATACGCTGCGGTAAGCGTGGGAAGCTTAATCCGAGGTAGATAGGGCCTTTCGAGATTCTTGCAAGAGTCGGCCCCGTAGGTTACAAACTCGACCTACCCGACACAATTCGTAACATACATTCTACATTCCACGTATCTAACTTGAAAAAGTGTCTGTCCGATGAGACTGTTGCAATCCCACTCGACGAGATCGAGATCAAAGAGAGCCTCAACCTCGTGGAAGAACCGGTAGAGATCATGGACCGTGAGGTCAAGCAGACGAACAAAGTCGTATCCCAATCGTGAAGGTTCGCTGGAACACCAAGCAAGGACCGAAATTCACTTGGGAACGCGAGGATCAGATGAAACTGAAATACCCTCATCTTTTCGCTTAGTTATTTGTAACTTCTTATTTGCTTAAATTCTAATTTCGGGACGAAATCCTTCTAACAGGGGGATGATGTGACAACCCGAAATTTCCATTTCGTACAAACAATATCACTTCAATAAAGTTATAACAGTCATAGTCAATTTTCAGACTTTTTCGTGTAAGTTGGAGTAATTCAGGGTTTACACTTCAGTAAATATCAGGAGAATGGATGCACTATGATTTTGTGCAACATTGTTATTCCAACACTCTGTTATATTAGAAATCATTTTAGGAATAAAAATATTTTCTGTCAAAAATATCCTAGGACTGTAAATAAATTTCTGAACTAAATTCATTCATTATTCACATTTCCAACTAGAGAAAAGCCATTTTCTCTCCCACGGATCTTTGGGTTTTCATCCCAAATCGTGATTACACTTCTCTAGTTGTCTTATAATGCTTATTATGTAGTTATAATATGATTTAGGAGTTTACTCTCCAAGGTGTTCTTGGGCGGTAAACTCCCGAAACGAAACCTAGTCTTTTCCCCATGACAAGTGATGGACTTAGGCTTAAATTGTATGTGTATTTAGGCTAGAAAACAATCAAAAAACACCAAGATTAGGGTGTTCACGGCCCAAGAAGTTCTTGGACCGTGAACTCCAAAATCAAGGGCCAAAAGGTGTTTCTAACACTCCTAAAGCCTTTGACATTTAACCATATTAGATCCTACCTAATTTGTGGACTTTAAAATATCAAAGACACCATCCCACGAGAGTTTAAGGCCCTGGTAATGTTCTTGGGCTGTTAACATAAAACAAGGGCACCAAAGTGTGCCTAGGACCTTCATTAGCTTAAAACAAATGCGTAGAAACTATCCTACTTGTGCTTGTGACTTGAAAACATAAAAACACCCATCCTATGAGAGTTTATGGCCGTAAACTCTAAGGGAATTGGCCTTGGGGCCGTAAAATCCTCAAAGGAGTATTTCTATGTCCTAAACTACCCAAAGAACTAAAGCACCAAGTAGAACTTACTCTAGAAATCAAATAACACTCCAAAACACCAAATGCCATCAATATTGGGAGTTCATGGCCGTAAACTCAAGGGTTTATGACCGTAAACTCCTTGTGTGGAGTTTATTGAGGAGTAAACACATATATAAGGCCCTTTGGAACTTTAAACCCCTTTAGCCTTGTCCCACAACAACTTAGATGCAACCATTAGGACTTATACCACTTATACAAAGTGTTTACATGTTCTAGAGTATCCCAACTTATTTCATTAGTTATTATTTGGCTAATTAGTTATATATATGCTCATTATATGATAACTAGGCTCGTCCGTGTGAACAAGTCTCCGTTTTCCACCTAGCACAGTATCCGACACTTCAATCCAATCCACTCACCACAAGTGAGTTCATACCCCTTTAATTAACCTTTGAAATACTTTTAAATGTTTTAAATGCTTTTATGGGGGGGGGGGGGGAATACAAGTTAAATACTTATAGTTATTACATCAATCACATGTGATTAATAACTATAAAACCAATGATTTTATTATTGTTCAAACTGTTTATCAAACTGGATTGACTATCCTACACCTTGCTGCTAGCTACAGCCGGACCTGCAGGTCTGCGGGTGCCAAACGTCATTCCGTTTTACGACTATTCGTATGTCGTTGTTACCAGTCAATAGTATGGTGCAATTTATCACAGGATACCTTAATATAAATTTGGATTAAGGTAGTTAGTACAGCAGTAGTTCCTATAATACAACGCTACAGTACTACAATAATTTACCCATTACATATACTTAGTGATTATTTCACTTAAACATTAATGTACAAACTATATTTTGTTAATGATAATTACACTTGGGGAAATTACACACTTTTACAACAAACGATCATACAAAACACTTAAGCCTTGGTAGAAGGCTACTTTAATAGAAAATATAGGTTTTTCTGAGAGATTCAAACGTTTACAAACACTTACAAACATTTACATACATTTTACAAACTTACCCATGAGACATGCTCTATCGTTTTAATAACAAACACCGACAGTAAAATACTTATGAACTCACCAGCTTTATGCTGACAAAACTCTTTCAAAATAAATTGTATTCTCAGGTCATCAGTAGACAGGTACCGATGCTAGCTTTTGAGATGATGGAGCGCATCCAAGACTCATCTTATCATTTTGATTTACATTATTTTTGGAGTCTATAACTATAAAGAACACGCTTGTATTAAAATTATATATTTAATGCAATGGATGATGTTGTTTTGCTTGTTTACTTTTACTGTGTTGTGATACTTTACATGACGTCCTCCGCCCCAGAACATTTTCGCCATTCTCGGTTTTGGGGTGTAACACACATTATCAACCAAATTCCAAAATTGGTTATCATATATGGATTGGATCTCGATATCCATTGCCTCTTTCCATTTGTCAGACTCCGGGCCTGCCATGGCTTCCTTATAGCTGTTAGGTTCATCAAGGTTTATTAGTGTACTATCACTAATATACGTGTCCCCTTCGGTAGTAATATGAAAACCATACAACCGAGGTTGAAATCTAACTCTTTCGGAACGTCTAAGAGGTAACACTACTAGAAAAAAGGCCTTTTACAACGCTCATTGCGCGTCGTAAAAAGCTCAGACGACGCGCAAATGCGCGTCAAGGAAGGCCCTGTCATAACGAGAGACGACTCGCTTTTGCGTGTCGTCTATAGACGACGCGCATTTACGACGCGCATTTATAACACCCAATGCGTATCATTAAAGCTGTTGTCAAGAAAGGCCATGTCATAAATGAAGATGACACACATTTTTGCGTATCGTAATTTTTATTTTTTATTTTTTTAAAATTATTTATAGATTTACTAATTTTTAAATTAAATTTGCATTTCATGTCTCATAATAGAAAATAAAGTACCATATACAAAAAATACAATCCATTACACAATCAATTTCATTCAATAACATTATATCATAAAATTGTAATACATTGATATTAAGGAGATCTAATTGTACGTTGTTATTAAGAGGTTTTCCCTAACTATATAACCTAATACTACATTGCTATAAAGGGGCACCTTCTTGTTTCAGTAACTCATCATTAAGCTGCCCTAAGAAGCTCTGAAACATTTCCTAAAACAAAGAATGATTGCTTTATAGTTTAGCCTAACATCATAAAATCATAATTGTTGTGTTGAGAACTGCATCAGGGATAGCCTGGAAACAACACAAAAATTAATATATCTTTTCAAGTATAGATGAAGAAATTTCATAAGCAAGTGATATGAGATGATACCAGAAGGGATTTGATAATTCCATTGATCATTTCAGTGTCAATTTGTGGTTCATCTTCTCCGGTATTCTCATTTTCTGTCAAAAAAATGTCAAACAGATAAACATCAAACTGGATACATTTTCAAAAGTTGAATATTGATCATAAATATTCATCATATTTTCTACACTACATGTTGTGTAATATAATCAATATCGTATTAATATATTTTTAAACTTACCCGACTTGCTAAAATCCAGTATGTGTCTTCTAGTTTCTTCAGTTTTAGCACATCCACATTTTAGGGTTTTTATATGGAGATAAACACCAGAGGGAAAGCAGGGGTAGAGATTGATGATCATGTCTTAAAAACATTTCCTACCCAAAGGGAAAGCATCTAAAGCCCTATAACTACTTAACATCTCCCATAATCACCCTGCTCTCCTGATTCAATGCAAGTACACTTCATGGTCAGGTTGAGATTGATGATCATGTATTATAGGAAGATCATAATTAACCATCAAATTAACCTGATAAAAAAGAGGGAAATATAATTATATGACACAAAAGATAAAAGATAAAAGCAGGGGTAGAATTGTAACCCTGTGCTTGATCATACCCACTATCAAGTTCATTAACTGATAAGATCCTAAGATATATAATGAGATTGTCATTTGATGATTTTCACCAAACAGAAAAGAAAAATAAACACTTACATTCTTCATTAAAGCGGTGAATGCATTCTTTGGTAGGCCAAAACCAATTGCTGTCATTTCAGCAACAGCATGAGGAAATTGAATTTTGAATTATATCCTGTAACATTCAATAAATTATGATGCAATGTCGATAATGTATTATATATAATATAAATGATGAAGTTTTATATAAGAAATGATAATAAACAGTAAGATAAATAAAAGCCAACTTAGCATGGAAATAGAAGCAACTTGAGAAGTTCTGATATCAAATACTCAGTCCCTTCATCATCAATTACCAACACCACAGTTTCTACAGCCTTCTTTGCAAGATTTTGGACCTCCTATATTACAAATAAAAGCCAACTTAGCATGGAACTAGAAGCAACTTTATCAAGATCACTCTGGGAATGTGAATGTCACAACTTATAAGAATATAGTCAAACCTGCTGGAGTGTTGTCTGCCATGCAGACTGAACTTGCGGATGCGTATCAGTTAGCACCTAAAATCAATAAAAAAATTAAAATTATAAATTTGATTATATTAACTAATAAAGATGTAAGCTAACATTGTATTATTGTCCAAAGTACCTCAGTTAACTTTGGGACAATTTTTTGGCTACGTGAAAGGAAAATAGTGTTAATAAGCATATTGTAATATAATTTAAAAGAATATGGGAGAAATTAAATATCACAAAATAAATTGAAAATGTGTTTAGAATGTTTACCTGACCCAACAATTGCAGAACCAACTGTGAGCTGTCTAAGGGTTTTATAAAACGAATCATATCGGTCTACTATTACAGTCCAACAAGGAAAAAGAAGTCCTTACTCTAAACACCCACTTTGTCTACATACCAACTCCAACTTGAACTTGACAGTGAAAATTCACTCTCAACAAATGTAGAAGCATCACCAACACTTTTCTGAGCCACAACCTTTTATCCATATTCAATATAACCAATAGATATAAAAAAAAATTAGATCATGTTTTAGCTCCTGTGAAGTTAACTACACAAGAAAACATAGATATAATTTTACCTTTGATGTGTGTTGAAAATTACGTTCTTACAATCTGGAAGAATGCTCACAGACCATAACTATTGCTGCAAGAGTAAAATATGATCCTATTTCCTGAATTATAGAAAGGAAAACTACAAAGCACCCATTTAGAAGTGGTGAATTGCTCATAGTCATAGTTTTTAACAGATCAACTATTTTGACCATAATGAGGAGCCAGTGATAGTTTTAAATAATTAGTGGCCTATATCATTTCAACAGAGGTTCTTGCTGAACTATTTTGACCACAACTATTGCTGGTCCCAAGGTTCTTGCTGGATTTATTGATGCTCCTATCAGTGGCCTATATCATTTCAACAAAGGGAAAATGTGAACGAAGAGGGTACCCTTTTTTTAAACTTCTATCAACATACCCAATTATCATAATATTAAGAAGGTTCAGTTTATACGTACACAACTATAAGAATATTAAGCATGACAGTTGCTCCCACAGCTATTCCCGCCAGCTCACCAACCTGTGGTGAAATAAAAATCAAGGCTTAGGCTGTGCTGATTTTACATTTGAAGATTTTTTTGTAGTAAGTGATTCTTTCATATTAATTCCTTCTTCTCTGATGATTAATAAATAAATATCTTTAATAAAAATGATCTCTATCTAGACCATTATACCCTTGAATTGTATTCATAAGATTTACATTATTTTTTTGTTATTGATAAGTATCATAAGATATTAGATTAATAATTAAAACATATTTGACCATTTGTGCCCCTATGTACACCGGCACCTACCACCAGTTTAATTTAACCATAGTTGGTTTTAGAGGATTAATTAATTAATTAATTAATTAATTAATTAGAGGTGTTATTAATTACATGCTTGGATCTTCACTACAAACCGAAAGGGCATTATGGTCACATAAAACTCAACAATCCACTGCTGATGGTGGGCTGAATTCATAATCCGAGCATGGATAAACTCATTTCCCAAAGCAGGTATTCCTTATCTTCACTACAAAGCAATGTTTTTTGTTCTATCAATAGAGAATTATATGTCCATTAATTTAATCATATAGACTGGATAAACTAATTACCCAAAGATGGTATTCCTTATCTACAGATGACAAACAAATCATCCAAAGATGGTATTTTTCCAGATTAATTATTCAATTTTTCGATAAATTCACAATCCGAGTATGGAACATAGCACATTCCAGCATAGTTGTTGCATAATTGAAGGAAAATCAGGATGAATACCAATCTGAACAAACAACCATATGAAATCTAACCTGTTTACTCATCAAATTTGAATTAGTTATGAAACCGACCACATACCTTGGGCCACTACTTGCTTTAACAATCACTGTGATCAAAGAAACATAAAGCCTCAAAAAGTAACAGCATGATAGATGTAATTTAGCATAATACAAAAAATTCATACCCTGGATAAGACAAACATACAAAAAATTCATCGTACCATAACATATTCTCGAATTTATGCTCAAAATATTAAATGTGAGTATGTGTGTGTAACACCAAATTTTTCAAACCAATTTTTCGATTTTTATAAAAACATAATTCCATCAATATTCATAAAAACAACCATTTTAATTGTTCAACAAAACAGTACAAAATCCCAAGATCAAAATGTCAAGCTCCAAACGTGTGTGTACGGATCAAGCCGGCGCCTTCCCGCGGTCGTCACTAGTACCTGAAACAAATAACATCAACACTGTAAGCACAAGGCTTAGTGAGTTCCCCAAAATACCACATATAACACATATTTGCCACTCTAGGCTATAACTCTGTGGGTCCGTGCACCCAAACTCTGTGAACCCTCAGGTTCTAACTCTGATAAACATGCACCACATAAATCACATAGAAATCATGCAGTACAACACATAACATACATAGCATACAAATACTCTATCACATAGCTCTGGTTACCTACTCAAGATAAAGTATAGTGAGAAGACTCACCTCGCGTGTCTCGGTAAATCGTAACCCTGAAATCGCTAAACACTCGATCTGCCGAGCTGTAGTCCCCATATAGCACAATACATCTCTAATTAACACTTTCCCAACTAGGGTTGACCACACTATAACAAGTCAATCTAGGTCAACGCTGGTCAACGGTCAACTTTGACCGGACTCGGCGAGTGCACTATAGCGACTTGGCGAGTCTGAGCGCATGCACCAATTTCCCTGGAACCCTCCCTTGACACGTCGAGCATTTTTCTCAACTCGACGAGCTCCACCTGGCACGAGTTGTGGGGCCACCACGACTCAACTCGCCGAGTCTCAAGAACAACTCGGCCAGTCCAGTTTGACTCGGTCCGCCTGTCCATCCTGACTCCCCCTTGACCCACTGAGTTCACCCTTCCCAACTCGGCGAGGCCACTCGCTGAGTGGTCATGCAACATTCATGCTACTCGCCGAGTCTGTTCTTCGGACTCGGCGAGTCCGTGCCATGCACCGACTCAATCTTGCTCTAAAGGTCAGATCCAGTCCATTAATCCATAGATCCAGTCCCTCCAAGCTTATTTAGCACGTAAAGTCACAATCTTGATGCACATATAACCTCTACATGACCATAAATGATGTTTTTGACTCAAATACTTCAACACAAGGTCAAGGACTCCATTGCCACCCATAAAGCTTGATGAGTGAGGCCCTCTGGACCTCTATGGATCCAGATCCATGGTATCAACTCAAAGAGGGAACCAAAGGGGCACCAAATCACCCCATAAATGACCACATTAAGCCCTAAATTGCATCAAGCTTCACCAAACAGAAAATCGTCCGAAATAATACCCCTAGAGTGATGATCCAAGCTCCAAATCCACGAAATAGCAACCTCCTTTGCTTCCTCTTGCTTAGGGGCTCCTTCTTCTTGCTAAACAACACATACAAGATCAAGATTGGCTCTCTTTCCTTCACAAAACGCTCAAGAACTCTAAGGACACTCTCTGGGGGTTGGGAGAGCACAAATGATGGCCATAAGGCCCTTTAAATAGGCCTCAAACCCGGAGATTTAGGGTTTCATTACACAGCGCAGACTCACTGAGTCCATACCCTGGACTCGCCGAGTCCAAGCGCGCACCAGTGATCAATTCCGCGTCCCTACTCGGCGAGTCTGAGCTCCAACTCACCGAGTCCCTCTCACAATATAACACAATTTAAACTTACAAGATACCTGGTAAAATCCGGATGTTACAGTGTGTGAGGTGCTATGTGCGACTGCTAACAGTGTATCAGAATGGGATCGAGAATCAGAAAAGTAGGGGGAAGGATATCGCACCCAAGAAATCAAACAAGAAAAATTAAAATAAGGGAGAAGGAACAAAGCATACCTGAGATGCTTAGAGAGTAGAAGTGAGGATTGTCGAATGAGGAGGAAATCGCCATTGAAACCTACATAGTTTTTCAGTTAGGGTTTAACACAGGAGAAGATGAGAAGATCCAAAATCGAAATCAAAGCTATGAATAGAGGAGAAATTAAAGAAATAGAAGAACGAAAACATTAGGAAGAATGAATAACCAAACCATATCTTAGTCAGGCTAGGGTGTGGAAATTTGAGTAGTCTCCAACGAGGTCACATGAGCCCGAGGTCGCCGGAGGAAAATACCCCTAAGGTCGTTGGAGGAGAAGTGAGCAAAGATGTTGTCGGCAACGTGAGGCGAGATGTCGATCGATTGTTGCATAGGCCAGAGAGCACCAAGTGTTTCCGTTCTTGAAAAAAAAGCCCTAATCCCTGCGATTTTGTGGAATTTAATAGTACTATCCTTGCTTGTCTTCTTCTTTGCTTCTTAAATAGTAATAACAATCTCTATGAAATCACAAGTTGGGTTTTAGGTTAGAGGGAAAGAGAGAGGAAGACGAAGACGCTAGGCTTCTTTCTTGCTAATTGGAAGAGGAGCGGGTTTTAATTTTTCACATGGAATAGGCGGGGTTTTAATTTTTTGGGATTTCATTTCCCCCTTTCAAGAACGCGCGTTTTGAGTAAAACATAAAGCGACATTCACAAAGGACGCACAATTTAGATAAAGTGCCCTCCGTGTTTTTATTTTTTTTACTTGAGACACTAATCTAAGGGCACGCAATAATCCGTGACATAAATCCTTAATTTTTTTGAAGAGACGACACTTTTTTAATGTCACTCTCTTTTGCGTAATATAAATCAATGAGTGTCGTGGTTTGCGCGTCGTAAAAGGGTCTTTTTCTTGTAGTGTAATGATACGTCAATTGGTTCAACCGGAGTTTCCTCCTCGGGTTGAGCGCCAGCGGTTGAGGTTTCTTCATCTATCGACTCTTGAATCTCTTCAAGGTCGATTTGCCTCCCACTATATCCTTGGCCTATGAGTTCTCGCTCTCGGAAAACTCCTCTCCTCGCAACAAAGACGACATTATCCTTCGGTCTATAGAAGAGATATCCAAAGGATTTCTGCGGGTAGCCGATGAAAATACATCGATCACTACGAGGTTTGAGCTTGTTGTGAGTATCTCGTCTTACCAAAGCCTCGCAACCCCAAACCTTGATATGTGATCATGAAGGAGCTTTCCCCGTCCACATCTCGTGAGGTGTTTTGGCAACCTTCTTAGTAGGGACTCGGTTAAGGATATGGGCGGCAGTCTCTAAGGCATACCCCCAAAAAGAGATAGATAGCAAAGCACGACTCATCATAGAGAGAACCATGTACAACAAGGTTCGATTATGCCTTTCTGCCACACCATTCAACTGCGGTGTCCTAGGTGACGTCAATTGTGAAACTATTCCACATTCCTAGAGATAATCGTGGAATTCAAGACTTAGTTTCTCTCCTCCTCGATCGGATCGAAGCATCTTGATTTTCCTGCCCAATTGATTCTCCACTTCATTCTTGAACTCTTTGAACTTTTCAAAAGTTTTTGACTTTTGCTTGATTAAGTTG